CTATATTAATTATATGTATACATTTTTAAATATTTTAACGTGTTAAGGACAAGATTTATCCATAAGCCCCTATGCTTTTATAGACCCTTCTCATGTAGACCCCCTTAATTTCCAAATCTCAGTAATGAAAGTTGTACTGGACCAGTACTGTACAAAATAAATATCATGTGAGCCAACTAGCTTCAAATTTTCCATTAGCCACATCAAAAATTTATAAAAAGGAAACAGGTGAAATTGATACATCTTATTTAACCTAACATATCCAAAATATTATCATTTCAACATGTAATCAACATAAAAACATGAATGATATTTTTCCTGTACGGAGGCTTTGAAATCCAGTGTGCGTTGTACATCGGCAGCGCATCTCAATGCTGACGAGCCACATTCTGGACGCCCAGTAGCCCCATGTGACTAGTGGCTGTTGCATTAGACAGCACAGTCTTGGACACTGGGCTTACCCTCCTACCCTCTGCATCCTACATAGCTTTTAAGACAGACTGAAAGTCTGCAATCCTTTCAAACTAACATGTGAGAGGGGGCCTTTTTCACGTGAGTGCATATCTGTGACCATTTCTGGGTCCTAGAAATAGTAATAGATTAGTAAACTACTTAGCTAAAAATGGAATAATAATGTAGTGAGTGCTTACTAAACACTTTTTATGTATTAATTGATTTACTCCTTTCAACAACTGTCTTAGGTTGATAGCATTATCCCCATTTTACCGATGAGAAAACAGGCACATAGAGACTCAGTGACTTGCCCAAGGTCATAGCTAATACATGGTAGAGCTGGCATTAGGACCCAGTCAGTCTCTCTCTCTCTCTCTCTCTCTCTCTATCTATCTCTATCTCTCTCTCTCATCTCCTAGAAAATTTTGCAGCAATTTCCCTCTCCCATTTTGATTTATTCTAATATATCTGTATCTCAGCTTTTTTAAAAAATATATTTTATTGATTTTTTACAGAGAGGAAGGGAGAGGGATAGAGAGCCAGAAACATCAATGAGAGAGAAACATCGATCAGCTGCCTCCTGCACGCCCCCCACTGGGGATGTGCCCGAAACCAAGGTACATGCCCTCGACCAGAATCGAACCTGGGACCCTTGAGTCCACAGACTGACGCTCTATCCACTGAGCCAAACCAGTTCTGGCTGTATCTCGGCTTCTTAAAAAGTTATTTTCATTATGCAAGAACCCATAAGGCTCGCTTTGGTCAGTTAAAGAAAATTCAGCTTATAACCATTTAAGGCTGTCCGTGAACTGTCCTTACCATTTTCTCAGACTTGTTTCTTCCTATCCTTTAATATATATTCTCCAGTCTTAGCAAGCTAACCTGTTTACCATTTGGCCCTTACAGCTGGCTTATTCTCTCTTCCCTACTATGCTCGTGCATTATTGCCGGAAAGACCTCTTGCTCCTCCCTTCTTTTAAAACTCACCTTTTTCCAGAAAGCCCTCATTGACTAACTCCATCCAGCTCTAACCCACTTAGTCATATGGGGCTACTGGGCAACCAAAATGTGGCTAGTCAGAATTGAGATGCGTTGTCAACGTAAAATGCACACTGGATTTCAAAGCCTTAGTACAGAAAAAATATCATCAGCTCCCAAGTACTGGCTTTTGCTGACTTATGTAAATGTGTTTTGTAGTTATATTTTAAATTTGTTTTTATATGTATATCTTTTCAAGATGTCCTACTAGCAAGAGCTTGACTTCGAATTATTTTTGTAACTGTCAGTACTCAGCCTTGCACAAGGTACAACTCAGTTGTTATTGACCCAACTAACCACTTGACCAAGAGAGAGTATTTTATCCAGTCTGTAGCCTTTCCTTTATATACAAGATGTGTGCCTCACAAGAAAGCACAGTGCCTTACTATGTGAACCTAAGACTAGAGGCCACCATCTTTTATTTAAAAAAAAAAAAAAACACACAGAAAATGATTTTTAAAACAAAACCAAAACCAAAAAAAATAGTAGGGCCATAGGCTTCATTGCAGCAGTGCTTGTGACCCTGTTGAGGAAAAGTGTGTGTTTTGGGGGGCGGGGGGACTTAATTGTCCCAATCTCTAGTCCCATGACTCAGAAGGTTCTAATGCAGCAAGTCAAGAGTAAACCCAGACTTACTACCTACAACTTGATATAGGCAGTGGTAGGCAAACTGCGGCTCGCGAGCCACATGCGGCTCTTTGGCCCCTTGAGTGTGGCTCTTCCTAAGCCTTAGGAGTACCCTAATTAAGTTAATAACAATGTACCTACCTATATAGTTTAAGTTTAAAAAATTTGGCTCTCAAAAGAAATTTTAATCGTACTGTTGATATTTGGCTCTGTTGACTAATGAGTTTGCCGACCACTGATATAGAGGAATTGAAGGTTGCATATAGTTCCTATAATAATATATTTTTTAAAAGACTAGCTAACAATCTCACATATGCTCAAGGCAGGCTTCTCTGGAATAACTGAAATGAAGGACATATGTATTCTTGGAAATTCATTTCCCTTAGAGAGGGGCGGGGGGTTAGAGAACTGGGTGGAAAAGGTGAAAGGATTAAGAAGTACGGATAGGTAGTTACAAAATAGTGATGGGGATGTAAAGTACAGCATAGGGAATATAGTCAATAATATTGTAATAGCCGAAACCGGTTTGGCTCAGTGGATAGAGCGTCGGCCTGTGGACTGA